AAGCGGTTTACAGAGTCAGCATATTGCCCCCAACAATCTGGGTCCTCATTTTATTGACCCCCAAAGGATGGAAGGCTGAGTCAACCTTGAGCCGATGAGACTCGAACTGCCAAATTGCAGGCAGCCAGCCGTCAGCAGAAGTAGCCTGCAGTACTACATTTTAAACACTGTGCCACTGCGACTAGCCAGTTCTGTAACAACAAATCTATCTAATTGGCAAAACCCAAACTCAAAAATTTCATTTTTTCTACCTCAATTACAAAATCCAGAAATGAGTTTTTTAGTCGCATAACTGAATGTCTTATGGGAGAGATAAAAACTTTTACCTTTAATATTATTTCTCTGAAACGTTCCTGGATGTTCAACATTGCAATAATGCTGCTGCCCACCAGAATTTCAATAAATACCATTTATAGTATGGTACAGGATGGCCATTGAGTTTATCATTGAACTGACATGGGTGCCATTTTATGGCATGGGGCATAATATCTTTCTGGCATCCAATGATTACATCCTTGAATTGAGCCAAAGTTATAAACTTTAAGTCACTATAATTTTATTTCTTCATGTACAAGTTATCAATGATTTATTTACTAAATTTAGCATTTTTGCCTGAACTCATAGGCCACAATTGCTGGGACCATGAACCACAAGCTAGACAATCACTATGTAGATTAGAACATTGTGCAAATTCAGATTTCTTTTGACAGCTTTTAATTTGGTTTCTGTATTTTTTTTTATAGACATCGGCAAGTATTTGATAAACTATTTAACATGAACCTTGTAATGAAGGTATGAGTGAATCATTTGTTTCTAAGTTTTATTTTTTAATTAATGCAGATGTAAGTTCATAATTTGAATTACGTATTTCAGGCTAAGACTATTAGGGAATTTGACAAACAGTTTACCACAGTCATGTTTGGCTATCCTTCAGTTGAAGCTTACTATGAAGATGCCAGTCCATGTCATAAACTGAAGAAAATAGGAATTCCAGTGTTGTGCTTAAATTCTCTGGATGATGCATTCTCACCAAATCATGGCAAGTTTTATTTTTTGTTCTCTTATGATGATGCTCTTCATTGATCTTGAATTGACTGTCCTTAGAAATAAATTTGTATTGTATTATTTAAAAGCCTTTACAGAGTAAGGCAGCAGTGCAATAGGATTCGGATGTGCCAACACAAAGATTGCCAAATTTTGTTTCAATTAAAAGTATTTTATAGACTCTAGTTTATAGTCTCATTTAAAAAGTGGGGTTTTATGTAATAGTTTGCAGCCTTATTTAAAAGGAGGAATTTGATATAACTTCTCAGGATTCAGTTTTTAATCAGGATGCAAAATAGCCAATTCTTAATTTCTAGTCTTGTAATGCAAAAGAATGTTTACATGTTGTATACAATACACACCCACACAAACACACACACTTCTGTTATGAGCAGTAGTTATCTTTTATTAACCAGCATCCTACACCTAAATCAGAACTGCACTTAAGTATATCATTAAGTTCCAAATACTTTTATGAGAGTATTAAAATATTCTTTTTCTTTCCCTGCTACCTTGTTTTATTTCTTCAGCTATACCAGTGGAAATTGCAAAACAGAATACTAATATAGCTTTGATCCTTACTTCCTATGGAGGCCATATTGGTTTTCTTGAAGGACTGTGGCCAAGAAAGTGCACGTATATGGACAGAATCTTCAAACAATTTGTTCAAGCAGTGTTTGAGCATGGGAGAAAAATTGTTACTCTTTAGCAATTTATCCAAATGATGGTCAATGCACATACATAACACTTAATCAACCAGAAAATGAAAATCCATGATTCAGAGCAAAATATAATTTTGCTTAAATATTTTTGCAGTATTATTGTTTTTATCTTATACCTTTTAAAATATAATTAAAAGCACTCATAAAATTGCACTTATCTAAAATAATTAGATATTACTCAGGTGTTTTAATTTCAATAATTCAAATGTAGGAATCAAACATTTGATTACGTGTTCTAATGCACTTTATGTTCACTAATATGTGAGAGCACAGGAACAGCTTCTATGCGGGCACAGGAAATGACTAGGAAATGCTAAATACATATTTTAAAAGTAATAAAAATAGCAGTTCAAGAAGCCATAGATTGTAGCAGTTATTGAATTTTGCGTCTGTTACACAATCACATTGTCAACTCTATGTTTAAATATTTCATTTTAAGTTGTTCTAGGTATCTTATTTTTAAAATTATTATTAAATTATACCATTTATATTTATACTAGGTCTTTTATCTTAAAATGCAGAACATAAATAAACCGCTTTTTTAAAAAACGAGCTAATTCTTAATTTTATAATTCTTGCATTTAAAGCTTACATTGTTTTGTATGATTGTGATCGGTAAAATATGGTTTATTTGAAGACGATTTAGCTTTTCTTTGAATAATAGTTGACAGGAACAAAGCAATACTGTGAATTTTTTGACTTCCACTGGATTTTTTCCCAGTTCTCAGTACTTATGTCTAGGACTAAACTACAGAATAAACTACAAATAAACTACAAAATGTTTTCTGTGTCAGGAAAAGAGGTGATTCTTTACAATATTAAGAGGTCATTGAATTGACTGCACAGTTGCTTCCTCCCAAAATGCTTTTATAATGTTTAGTGGGTAAAACACATGGTACTGAACAGCCATGTCAGAACTAAAGGGGGAATTAACTCTAGTTGGCATTGGATAAATTAGATTCCTCTATCTATTCCTATCTTTCATTCATCATTCTAATAAAATCTTGAAATCCTTCCAAAATTGGTTCTATTATCAGCTTTTCCATTGTAAAACATTGGTGAGGATGAAAACTGAATGTATGCTGTAAAATCAAGCAGGGATTTGGAATTATGATTTCCTAAGGTGAGTTATAGGAAAAAATATAAAAATAATAGGAAAAAATAATAGGAAAAAATATAAATCAGAATCAGGAGGTTATTTGCCTAAAAATCTTTAAGAAAGAATATTTTAAAATACTGTAGTTGTAACTACATTCCATTTACTGAGTCTCATCTCTAAATTGGCCCCCTAAAATAAACAGATAACTTGTTACATGCAATACAACACAGTTATTGGTATTTACATTGATTGATTAGAATGCTCACACAGCATTCATACTTCACTCAGAAGTGTAATTGAAATCTGAGGTTTCTCAGTGAAAGAGCTGAGTTTAAACTAGGATGAGAGTTTATTTTGGGCTGGGGACATCCAAAAGGAATATTACAGTAAATCACAAATTAAAATTTCTCAGAATTGTCAGATAAGATATATTATTTAGAAGACCTTTATAAAAAAATTCTATAAAGACAAGTATTCTTAATTTATTTTTTCTTCAAGTTATCCATATTTTTTCTTCAAGCTATCCATATTTTTCTGTATTGGAGACCAGCTCTCTCTCTCTCTCTCTCTCTCTCTCTCTCCCTCTCTCCCTCCCTCCCTCTCCCTCTCTCTCTCTCTGAAAACTATTGACTGATATTAATAGCCTTTAAGTGGAACCAGTTTCCCAAATACTATTCCTTAATGCAGCCCAAATGGTACAACCTGATCTAGACTGTACAATTCGGCAATGTTATATTACATCATACATTATATACATGACCGTATTTTCATAGAAAAAATAAAGCGCAAACCTGAAGAGAGCAAACCTGAAGTTTTCATAAGGATAATTTAACTGTTTATTATTTTCCTCTAGAAAGGAAAATTCAAAAGCAAACCAAGAAAAACTTTACAAAAAAAAGCATATCCTAATAAAAATAGTGAAGTTCAAATTGTACACAAGTACCCTGTGGATTATGAAAGCAAATGGTGATCTTATGATTGCATCTGTCATAAGTGTGAGCCAGTTGCCAAGCTCCCAAATTGGGATCATATGACAATGGAGGCACAACAGTAAGAACTTCAAGGACTAGTCATATCACTTGTTCAGCACTACTGCTACTTTGAACAATCAATGAAGGGAATTATCAGTAAATGAGGAATACCTGTACAGATGACCACACTTAATGACAGTAGCTATAAAGCACGATAGTGACTATATGGCTTACCATCAGAAATCCAGGCATTCCCCAATGCTCTTTTTAAGTGAGACTTGGTTGGGGGTTGTTAAGTGAGGAACTCCTTGCAACTTCCTGTATTCTTGCAACAAACAAATGGAGAAGCTGTCAGGAATTCACAAGTCCTAGGCAGCTTGCAGATAGATAAGCAGCTGCTGTTGGGTGGGGAAGGGTATGCGGGTGGCCAGAGAAGCACGATGTGAGCCTGAAGGAGCCAGGGTGGCAGCTGCCAAGCACAGGGCTCTGAGCGACTTATTGGATCAACTGGCAACTTGCCCTGCCAGCAGGAAAAGGTTGCAAATTGGCAATCATGAGATTGCGAGGCATCACAACCATCACAAATGTGAAGTGGCTGCCAAATTGCAACGCATAACTGCGGGAGTGCCGGGACAGGCAGAAAACTTCGGGGCTGGCTGTTAAGTCCTTGTTCAGAACCATCATAATGTCGAAGCGTTGACGAACATATGGTCATTAACTGAGAACTGCATGTAAATTTACTTGAACAAGACAAGTCAATTTTCATACTTTTCGCATGAAAGACCGCCTTAATTAGTACCAGTTGTACATACAAGTTAAGCAACTAAAATAAACAAAGGTATTTTTTTAAAAAATAAAATAAAGGACAGCTTTCTGAAATAAAAGCTGTATGGCATTGCAATCATATTACATCATATTGTATCATAATTTAACATTTCTATGCGGCAAACCAGTGGTCGCACCTTGCTTAAAAGTCACGTTAGTCAGAAGCAGGAAGCTAAACTATTCTGAACTAACTGAGCATGCTCGGTAAGAGAGAAAATCCTGTCTTTAAAAAAAGTATAAACAAGCATTCACTCGTTTTGAAGAACTCCATGGTTCTCCAAGCGGCTCCAGGCGCTTTTAACCAACTGCGCGTGTGCAACAGCTACCTTTCGCAACGCCTTTCTCGGAAATCCGGTTCTGACGTCACTCTTATTTAAGGAGGCAAGCGAGTCTGTCAGGCGTCAGCTGGAAGCGTTCTTGGGCGGAAACTTTGTTGGTGTAAAGAGGGAGAGAAAAAGGCGATCGCGGATACACTTCTGGTTCCTCAGTGCAGAACTTTGGAAAAAGAATGTTTTGCCGAATTTAAAATGTGATGGTTGCCGCTGTTGATCTTTCAGTAAAGTAGTAAAACAAATAAAGCGGATTGATTTAAATAAAATTGGACATTATATGAATGTTGATTAATTTATAGTAAGAGATATACTAGTAAACTTTAATTTGATGCTCCTTATTGTTAGTAGCTTACAGGTGTGATGCAATGTTTTTTAATCCTATGACAACGCTATCCTCGGGATTCCAATATTTCCTCAAAGAACAGAGGAAAGAAATCAGTCACAAGTGTGAATGTGTTCATCAAACTTAGTCACATTTCCTGGATGATGTTGACAATATGGTTTTTTGGGGGAGGGAATATTTTTTTATTATTTTATATCATACATTTCCTTTCTATGTTAAGGAGTGTGCTCTCTAGGTGTCCAAGGTGTTAACATACAAACATCATCTTCATTATGATCATATATAAACAGATATACAGTAATATATAAACAAATATGATAACATCAATCCTATTATAACATATATCTTCCATTATAGTATCAATTATATAACCCTCAGAAATATTTACTCATCTGTTTTTCTTTCTCCTATAAACCAGACAATATGTTAAAATTATATGCCGCCTGACTCCCAACAACTTTTCCTCGCAAATTTGGTAGGATAACAGATAATCAGAAGGGACCTTGTTGGTAATCTAGTCCAACCGCCTGCCCAAGTGGGAGACCCTACACCCTTTCTGACAAATGGCAGTCCAATCTCTTCTTGAAAGTCTCAAGTGAGGGTGCTCCCACAACTTCCGAGGGCAAGCTGTTCCATTGGATGATTGTTCTCACCGTCAGAAAGTTTCTCCTTATTTCCAGGTTAAATCTCTCCTTGTTCAGGTTTCATCCATTATTCCTTGTCTGGCCTTCGGGTGCTTTAGAAAATAGCTTGACCCCTTCCTCTGTGTGGCAGCCCCTAAAATATTGGAAGACTGCTATCCTGTCTCCCCTGGTCCTTTTCTTCACAAGACTAGCCATTACCAGTTCCTGCAACTGTTCATCGTATGTTTCAGTCTCCAGTCCCCTAATCATCCTGGTTGCTCTTCTCTACTTTTTCTAGAGTCTCAACATCTTTTTTCTAATGTGGTGACTAAAACTGGATGCAGTACTCTAGGTTTGGTCTTACTAAGAGTGGTAGAAGTGAAGGCAACTTGTCTGAGCTGGTTAAACACTGCAAATGGAAGCCATCACATTTTTGACATTTTCATTTATTTTCTGAGGTAGTATTAGGTAGTATTCAGAGATGGCTCCATAAATGATGAATAGGGCGGCTACTAAATTTGATCAGGGAACATTTGGATGACTTGATGTAATCTGAGTTTTCTGTATGCTTTTTTTGCCATCTAGTGGTCATCCGATTTTTTATTTTGATTTTTTTGCATTCCAGACTGAGGGCCCTACCTACATAGATTCTATGTGGAAACCTTTCCCCACCGTTTGCTTTTTTGCTTTTCTAAACTCACTTTGTCCTTGGCATGAAAGCAAAAGTGCCATGGGGGAGGGCAAGGCAAACTTGTTCTTTAGGGCAGGGGTCTCCAACCTTGGCTACTTTAAGCCTGGAGGACTTCAACTCCCAGAATTCCCCAGCCAGCTTTGCTGGCTGCTCCAGGCTTAAAGTTGCCAAGGTTGGACACCCCTGCCTCAAGGCATCCATTTTGTCCTTTTCTCAATTAGAAGATCCACCCATAAG